TCAATTTGATATATAAACATAAAACAGCAATATCGCACTGGCACTCTCAACACGACACGCAAGAATGGCACAATTACACAGAAGACAAACACCTTTTTATTTTATTTTTTTTTTTATTGGCCTTATGATCTTGCATATTAGCCATGGTACGAATTCTTGTGTGTTCAATTGGGGGTTATCGGGAAAAAAGGGCCAGAGGCGACGGTGGGAATCGAACCCACGACCGCTAACCACTCGGCTACCGCGGTCCCCTCATGTGTGATGTATAATTCAGAAGGATGATGGAATTACATTATTTACATTGTTATGAAGAACAAAAACCCATTCTTCTGTTATATCACGAGTTTCTCAATTAATATTTAATCACTAATTTCTAAATAGTTGTCCAGACCGATCACTGGAATTACGATATAACTAAACGAGATGAACAGACAAACCAGGAACATAAAATTGTAATAAAACAATGTTTGTAAATCCCAGGCCCTGAAGATGATCTCAATAAAGATCGAAACGTTGGCATGATAAAGAAAATATTTTTCTGAAACCTACATCACACCAGACCGCATCTCACGATTTCGGAATAATTATCGATTAACGGTCACTAATAATCACCACATAATTTGAAATGTCAAATTAACCCTTTCAACTTCAAATTGACCTTTTTTAATTGTACATTAAACCTTTTTAACTTCAAATTGAAATTTTTTAATTTCAGATTAATCCTTTTTAAATTTAATTTGACCTTTTTATAATTTTACATGAAACCTTTTTAACATCATTTTATTTTTTAATCATTTTAAATGTCAAACCCTTTCAACGTCTTTAAAATTAAAACTTTTTAACTTCAAATTGATCTTTTAAAATTTCAAATTAAACCTTTTTAACTTCGAATTGACTTTTTGTTTAAAATTAAACTTTATACTTTCAAATTGACCTTTTTTATTTCAAATAAAACCTTTTTAAGTTTAAATTAATAATTTTAAATGACAAATTAACTTTTCAACTTCAAATTGACTTTGGACCTAGTTGGAGTTTTCTTTCCTGTGGCAGCTACTACCCTACGACTTCACTAAGTTGCATTCCTTGAACTTTACTTTACAGGGTTCTCGGGTGTCCAGGGAAGACACAAAACGTGTTACGTCCATCTTTGTGCATCCTCATTCTCACTCTTCATTACAGTTAATACAATTATCTATACCCAATTAATGATTAATTAGTTTCGCAACTCATTAGATAGTGTTCTCCCGACACATACGTTTAAAATTAAAAAACTCTAAATATACTGGTATTTTACTTTACATGCTTATATGTCATACCTCCGAGGTTTTTCCAAAGAAAATGTTAATGACTAGTTAAAACGGGTTGATTTGATGTCCAAAAGTATTAATTGGACGGAAAAAAGTTATAATCCTTTGGTATCACTAAAGAGATATAAATTTGAATGTTCTGAAATAACATCTGCGATTTGCATTTTATACAATAAATCTGTATAAAGATGTTCCTGTAAAGTGAAAATGCTGAGAACCGTCACCTTTTTCGTAACATGTATGATATAACTATTAGTATGTATATTTTTTCGTGGCAGTGAAAGGATGAGAACGCAAAAGATATTATATCATTTATTATATAGTGACAGGGTGGAACGGTAGATAAAATTGACAATACTTTAAATCCGGTAGAATAAAAATAATAATAATAATAAATGCTTAAAAGAGTCAATTGATATAAATTTTCGACTCAATTTGTTTTTGCTTTTACTATTTAAAATTTCAAGGAGACTCGTTTCTTCTTGTATAATTTGTCCTTATGATCGACTCTTGATTCAAGCCTTCGCAATAAAGAACAGATTTAATTTCTGTTTACCAGTTCATTGTTATTTTTGTAATACGAAGTTTGTTCGTTTAAAAAATCTAACAGATTGACGAGAAAAAATTTTTTTCTGAAAGACCCAAGATTTTCCAGTGTAATTATTTTAAGAGATTGTTGCAATTAAATCGTTAAGTCGTGAAATTAGTCACACGTTTGAACTGGGATTATCAAAATGGTATCATCAAAATAATAAGCGACTTATTTATCATGGAACACCAAGGATGACGATTTTGTAAACATTTTTTTAGGAATTACAGAAAATAAGAAATCAGTTTTCTCAGATAGGTATTAAAAATTAGAAGTATAGAAGTATTAAGAACAACAAAAGTAGAAGTTAATTTTATGATAAATCACTGTTTGTTCATCATCAATGTCTTTTAGTGTAGGGATCAAATTTTAAGCGAATTTTGATATAAATATTACTATGAGTATTTATGGACGTTTTAAACATTTTGATAGGACAGTTTTAATGTTTGGTAAATCATTTGTCTCTGGTCCGCATGTTTTTGAGTTGAATCTCCTCGGTTAGGTAATTAGTTATTGCAAGTCAGAAACTGAAAACGTGCATTATAATTGTTTATATCAAAAATTGATTTTCAATTGACACTTCAGACAATGACCACATCTCGCGAGTAGAAGCTGAAATTTCGAAGAAATGAGCTGGTATTGACACGAATTTCCTGCGCAGTTATTGTAAAAGTGATTGTTCCAATAAAACTGTTAAGTTGTGAAATCGATTAAGTCACACGTTTGAGCTGGAATTATCAAAATAGTGAAAATGGGACGTTAACATCTCCCACATTGTCTCGCAACACACTGTTATAATAATGGAGATTTCCTTTTCAGGGACACCAAGGAGAACAAGACAAACATACAGTGTGTCAATTTTTTTTTCAGGATAAATAAATCAATGGAAAAGACATGTTTTCTCAGAAAAAAAAATTAAAAACAACTTTACAATGTATTTCAAGCTTAGTATGGTACATCTCTACGGTACTATTTTTTCATAGATCAAATTTGACTAATATTGAGTTTTGTTATAAATAGTTCCTTCTTAAACTATTTATAATGATTTAATTTGGAGATTATTTCTAATCATTTAAACGATTAACAAATATAAATATCTACTTACAATATTGGAAATTATGGCTTCAACTCGTCCACTCTACTAAGCAAATCTCATAAATTTATTATAGTTGAAGTCATTTCATATATTGTAAGTAGATGTTTATATTTGTCAACCGTAAATCATTAGAAATAGTTTGAATCAGACTTGATGAAAAGAATCAAAAGGTTAACGAAGGAAATGAGTTTTTTTTCTTTCCAATTGGCTTTATTCCTGATTTTTATGTTAATTATATTAATCAATATATCAATCATATAATAATCGCCATCAATACGCTCTGATCTAAAAATTTTGGTTGACCAGTTTTAATGCTTACTGGATGATTTGCCTCTGGTCCGTCTATTTTCTCTTTGAATTCTTGATCAGGTTATTACTTTATATTATATATTATTACGTTTTTACTTTATATATTATATTTATCAGTTTATTCTGATACTTATTAAAAAGTCAGAAACTGAAGACATGCATTATCATTATTTACATTAAAAATTGATTACGAATTAACCAAAGGTGCAAGTATATCGCAAGGTAGAAGCTGAAATCGTCAAGAAAGGAGCTGCCATTGCTTTGAATTTCTAGCATGATTATTTTTAGATCGTTGTTCCAATTAAATTGAATTAAGTCGTGAAATCGATTTATTCACACGTTTGATCAGGGATTATAAAAATGATAAAAAATGGGACGATAACGTCTCCAACACTGTCTCGAAACATCCTGTTATAAGGGCTAGAGTGAAACCTCTTGTTAAAGTTCTTAAGGATTTCTATCCGCTAAAGAGAGATTTTTATAATCTGATAATACATAGCAGTCTCTACAGATAAATGTGAATTGTCGATTTAGATAGGCATTTTCAATGTTTTTACGATCTCAAAAAATTACAGTTTCTCTAAAATTTAATTTACCAGCTAATGTTCTGACACTAAGTCTACTAAACTTTTGGTAATAATCAAGCATTTGCTTTCTTTTAAACTCAGTCTTTGGTGTGTTTAAAAAAATTGTTTGTTCGACTGTGTCCTTCTACTTGATTTGGAGTGTCCTTTAAGTAGAAATGTAAAATGCAAAGGAAGTGAGTCTTCCAACCCGGTGTGTGGACAATTGTCCTGTAAACGGAGGTGCCTAAACAGGGAAGCCCCTTATTAACTGCAACCGGGGCAAAATTTCATAAAAATTCTAATATAATACTATAAACTTAATAAAGGATGAGGTGATATAGCTTTATTATATTTTTATATTATTGTATTGCCGACTCACAAAAAAATATAAACTGGTTTTGCATTTAATTGGAAGTATTAAGAGAAATAAATTTGAATTTCCATTTGTACCCATGTACAGTAAAACCGCAGGAAAATGACAAAATGAAGGAATGAAGTGCAAAACTGGCTGCAAAATTCGAAAGCAAACCGGTTCTTCGACAAGTCTGGAAATGCTCAGCTTATAATAATAATAAAAAAACATATATAAAAAAACCTTGGATTTACTACATATAAAGACAATTTTTCACATTGCATCTATTATCAAGACATAACACAAGCGTTATTGCTTCCGAATCGAAAACCTACTGACACCTACTAGGCAAAAAAGAAGAATTTTGGTTTTTCAACGATTTGCAAGTTGTTTAATTGGGCCTCTAGAAGTTACACCCCTCCAAATCAATCCTGTACTTATCACAAACGAAGGATTATGTTATCGGTAATTACTCTAAATCAGTGTGACAATTTGTTTAGATATTAAAGTTTTAATTGGTAATTTTATTCATCTTCTAAACGTTGTCATTTGTAGTTGTTTGTAAATTGCACAGCATAATAAATTTTTGAGACGGATCGCACAAAAAACTTCAAATACCAATGTCTTTAAAAAACTTAATTGATACTATATTTACACATGATGGTATAAATATATAAAACAATAATGGCATTTTTTTCCAACCTAGTCCGTCTGGTCTCGCTGTGAACTGGTTTCCCAATTCATAGATTAACACAAATGAGTCTGATTATGTGAAAACTACCTTGTTCGAATCTGTGACGAGTTTGGTAGTGGATCCCATCGGCGTGGTGTCCTGGGCCATGCTTCACCGACAACAACACAACAACTGAAGATTAGAAGACGCGCCGCTGCCCCGCGCACCCCACTACATCAACGTGACGACTCCCTCTTCGTCGTTCAACCATTCTGGGCTATCGTAATTCGACTGCACATTTTACGCTTCAGCGTATATCGGCATGTGGTTATCTTGTTATCGGCTAGGTATAGTCTATTTTGAAGGAAATAATTCACCAAGGGTGGATTTATTTATCAGCGGTTATAATTTCCTTTGAATTTTGATTTTCGTTGAAATGAATTTAACATAGTTATATTTATTTTCCAATTCCATTTATTCATCAGTGTTATTTCCTATCAGAAATTAGTTTATATAAAAAAACTTACTTTTCTAGCTCACCTCTATGCACTAAAAAATGATTGTCTTGTTGGCGTTAGTCCTACAAGCAATAATTACCATAGAATCAATTACTTTTTTGGAAAAGATACCACTACTCAAAGAAGTTTTAGGCAGCCAAATCATAGAATCAATTATACCTTTAAAAAAACCGAGTAATTATTTTTGAACACCTATTGATTAATTGCACTTAAGTTCTTGCTGAACTGAGTCAACTAGAGATCGTCGGTCAGTCGTTCCAAAACGTTTAGTTAAACCCTGTGGTTTCAACAGGGCAGCAAGAAAGTGGAACATTTTTCCTGGTAGTTGGACCGGCAGAAGCGGCTTTGTCGGCTGGCCACCAGTATCCTGACGCTGACCTCGCCAGTCGATTTTTTCCCCCTTTGGGGTCGTCAAAAGTCAATTTGCGGCAAGGATAATAGCATTTTCCCATCGAGTCCCATAAAGTATTAATCGTTTTTGCAACCAAAATATTAAATGCGTGAGTTTAAAAGAAAATTATATTTCCCTAAAATTTAATTAACGATTTAAATTATAATTGAGGTTTGGGAAGTGATCAACTTAAAATTTGATTGTATTTGATCTCCCTAGTCAATGGGATAAATGGTTGATATCTCTCCTTCGCCCTGTTTATAACCCTCAATTGACTTTTTAGAACTATCACACACGACTAAACTCTTAAACCGAAAAGGCTACTGTCAGACAAATGTAACGTTTCAACTAAAAACAAACTGACAATCTACAAGACACAATATTAAAACCAATCTGGACGTAAGGTCTAGAACTGTGTGGCGCCAACATTTGACGAATACAGTCCTTCCAATTCCAAGTCCACAGAACAATAAACAATACTCCCTATTACGTCTCCAACATCCTTCACAATGATCTCAAAATCCCTCTTTTTCCAGAACAATTTTAGTATTTTTAAATCTATATATTAACGTTTTTAATCTCACCACAATCGAGTTGCCTACTAAACGTGGATTAGTCCTCGTACAGTTGGAAAAACAGCCAATGTTCGTTAACTCTCCTCAAACACATGATTTATGCCGTTGTAAATCCAGCTCATTTCAATATAATCTAAATAAGGAATACACACACACACACACACACACACACACACACACACACACACACACACACACACACACACACACACACACACACACACAGATACATAACTTACATAAAACTAGTTTTACTGAGAGTATATTAATTCACAGGTTAAAAATTCTGAAATTTTGGGTAGAAAAGTTTTAATTTTTGCTATACAAAGCTCAGTCCGCACATATAAGAAAAGTGATGCAACTCACCAAAAGAAAATTGTACAGGAGAGACAAAAGGAAGTTTTTTTTAAATTATGTATTAAGTACACGCCATTACGGTTATTGGCAATAAAAACTGTCATGATCCAACAATTTTGTCTTTCGTTCCTCCAAGACTTAAGCGAAAACACAAAACTTTAAAAATCCAGCTGTATTTCCCCTTAAAAAACCTCCCCCATTTGAGTTGACATTTTTTTGTATATATTGGCTCTCAGTAAGTTAGTATGTTTGCTCTAAGAATAATGGTGGTCAATGAATGACTGTAAGGGTGTTAATTTTTTTTTTTTTTGATAGACCAGAAAACATACAAACCTAACAAGCATAAATATCGTAGTAAGTTTTACTAACAATAAGTTTATTTTCGACCGGAATGTGCTTTCCTCCTGGTGTTGTGGCTAATTAGTTATTCAAAATGCAAATTTAATTATTGAAATAAAGGGTCATTGATTATTAAAAATATTAAAACATTAAAAAAATTGTTGAAACTAAAAATAATGTAAATGTTAAAATTCAAAATTGCCACAAAAAAGTATGAAAAAATATTATAATTAACAATGTTGTTAAAATAAAAGAAATTGAACTAAAATAATTCTCGAACACTCTAAATGAAGATATGAACGTGAAGAAAAATTCATTTGTTACTGCCAAGCTTCCGTCTTATTTTAAGGTCATCATCAGAGCCTAGATTAATGACACATTACGAAAAACATATTTGTACAATTGATTTAACAATTGTTTTTCATAATGTAAAAATGTGACTCCGGTACAGCATAAAATCCTTCGCTAAACAAGAAAAAACTGGCGTAACTCGAAATATGCCACTTTTCGTGAATGGTGACAGTACCATAGTACCTAGCAGCAGAGTCCACCTACAGTTGTCATTTTTCCTGTTGTATCACGCACCAGAATACTTAAAAAAACGAAATAATCCGGTTTTTATAATTTTTCGACTTGTGTCACTTTTCTTGTGGGTGCGCATCAGTTCAATTTCCCCGTATGTTATCACTGCCGGTTGTTTATGTCTCTGGCCCTTCTAATTTTGCTTTTCTTGGTATCTCTGTCTATTGCTACACTAATTTAATCTTTTTATTAGTGTGTTAAATAAAAGGTTTCTGTTAAATTTCAATATATTTCTGTTTTGATTAAAGAAAACCTTATTTAAGCTTTCTGAAAGTAACCTATCAAATTTGGTCATTTTTCTTATTGGGTTTTATCTTTTAAGACCAACACGCTAACATTTTTACACTTCATTCGTGCTAGTTTATAGATGCGTAATACACAGACCAACGTAATTTCAAAAAGTTAAACAATGCGTAGATAACTGCAGAACCTTAAGAATAATCGATAATTTTTAATATATGTAGAATTGTTCCGTCTTATTCTTGCTGCGTGTGTTTATCTTTTTTGAAACTTTATCTGAAGCTTTTGACCTAAAACAGCCGATTTAAGTGAGTTTCTGACCTAGATAACTATTATACAATGTTTTTGTCCTAAAATATCCCTTGTTCACCAAAATATTCAGAAATTCAGTTTATTTTGAACGAGTTTTGTTACAAAAATTTTAGTTGCACTAGGATTTCTGGTGTGATTATTTGGAAGTGTGATTTTTGATTTAAAAAGCAGGTTTTTGATCTAAAATATCCCTAAGACACTTATAGGATCAGAAGTCTGGACTTAAATGAGTGTTACTTAAGTAGTATTGTTTTCACATACTTTTGACCTACTGTTGTAGGACCACAGTTCAAATTAAATCTCAGATTCTGTTTTTCTGTTTTTACAAGCTTTGAATTTAAACAGTTAATTATAAAACGAGTTCCTAGCCAGAAAAGCATTCCTGTACAAGTTGATGGTCTATTCTAAATCATCCACAGGGTTCAATATCAGAAGGCTGTCTATTTTGGACGTAACTTAAACCTTCAGAGATAGTGAAAAACTAGACATTTAAAACCTTCTCGATATGAAAAATATAATATGATTATATGTTAATATTGATAATGTATTTAGCGAAAGCATTGCCCTAAAACCACCGATTTAAGGGGATTCTGATCTGAAATGGTATTGTACAAATACTTTTGCCTAAAATATCCCTAATCTACCGGAAAGTTCACTTCATCGTTTTTTTATAAGTTCTGTCTCAAAAATTGTAGTTCAACACGGAATTATTCTTTTTTTCGGTTTACCAAAAAAAAAGTTTTACAAAGTGTTTGACCTACTCTCATGCACTTAAAGAATCCGAAGTCCGAACTTAACTAACTTGTTATTTAAAAAGTCTTTTTCACATAGTTTTGACCCGCTGTTGTATGACCATAGTGAAAAATTCAGCTTTAAAACTCTGTTTTTGACCGAATGAAGTGGTTAAAAACGAGTCCCTGGCCTAAAAAGCAATTCCTGATCGTGTTTATGGTTTAAAATAGGACCAAATCGACGACGGTTTCAACCTAGCCTTCGGATTAATATTGAATTTGTGTGGAATAACTGAAAATTTTTCCAGAAAGTATAGGTCTAAGGTCATATTTGGCCTTGCGGATCCTCTTCTAGTCATTTAGTCTGCCTCTACGTTATCCAATATAACTTTGCGTCCTGGCACTGATGATATCATCGTGCTGTTGCATATCCCCACATTTTGGATGCATTCATTGACTATTTTATATATGATCATACTAGTACTTTAACTGTTTCTAATTGATAATATTGTTATCGGTAATTTTCTTCAATAGTTTGTTTTTTCATTTATTTTTTTTTATCTCACTGTCTATGGAATAGAAAGACAATAAGATAAAAAATGATCTTAATAGGATTTTTGTTGAAATTTCTTTAAGGCTTTCTGAAGTATAAGCGTTGATAACATGTATTTCAGCTTGAAAGACCGAGGTGCACTTTATTAAAGAGATCGGTGGATGTTTCAGTCTATATGAAATAATAATATTCAAAATCGAAAAAGTAAAAGTACATTTACAATAATACGTTTGCGTGATAACATGTTTATGATTTTCTCAATGTTATTAGCATATTATAAAAACGGAATTATTCATAGTCGATTTAATTTAATTCATAAATAATGATCCTTTAGAATTTTTAGGCTTTCCTTTTTAATTTCACTTTTTAAATGGTTAAATGTTACTCATGGATGTCATTTACGCTTGGATCTATTGATGCATGTATTATAGAGGTGAACAATTTTATTTCAACATGATATATGATGTCTACATAAGAATTTCTGAATTGTTTGTGTGTTTATTTGTTGTTAGACTGAAATATCTGATCTTCAAATAATATTTTTCAAATTTCTCGATACTAAAACGCTTATTTCCTTAACGTTTACACATTTAATATTGATCACATCTTATTGGAAATTTAACGTACTTTTCAACGGTCTCAACGGATTTGTCCAAGACCTTTTAGTTTTGGAGTTATTATTGTTTATTTGAAGTAATGTCGTGAAATCTTAAAAAATCAGAAAAAGTAAAATAACTCCTAAACTGTTGAGATTCGGACAATAGTTAATTAGACTTTTTGGTAGGTTTTTGTTTTGAATGTAGAATCTACTGGCAAAGTTTTTAACACGAGTAGCCGAACACCCTATATACTCTGTATGTCAAGTTGAGTCATGTCAAGTCAATATATCTTTTTGAAAAATTCCCATTATATCACCGATTGTTGTACTTTTATAAGAACTTGATAAACATGAAAGTGAGAATGTGGCAGCATACTTAATCCGCCGAGACGTACATGCAATGAGTATTTCGCCACATGTTGATGGCAGCGAGATGCCAATCGATCAAAGTGAATTTATATACATCAACATTACAAGAAAACACAAACCTGCATTCCATTAGCTGTGAGATTCGAAAAATTTCTATTGTTACATGAACACGTCTCGTTTTCCCATCTTACCACGTTACCACTTCCAATTGCACAACAAAGTCAACAGCTAGCGTTAGATTGTGCCCGTCCTTCGGCGGTGTTTCTTTCCGAAAGCTGATAAAAAGCCTCGCCTTTGTTTTGGACGGAAATTAGGCCGTTCAAAAACTAGGACGAGATATAAACTTGGCGAATCGGCAAAAAATGAATACGCCCTTTGAAAATATGCCGACTTCAAAAACCCCAAGCTACAAAATAAAATCGCTATCTTAATTTTTACAAAGAGTTTTTACGAAAGGAGCAGAAAATTTTGCATAAGAAATAATGGTCTGATAATGGTCAAACGGTCTCCTGTATAATTCGGGATGTGTTGGGAACCTGATCGCCATGATCAGTGATAATATCGCAATCTTTTGTTTTTCTTCCTTTCTCTCAAAAAATCGTATAAAAATTAACCTCTTTTTTCTTTGAAATTGCCAGTTCCATTTTTTTATTTGAAGAATAGACATACATAGAAATAGAAAAATAGATTAATTTTTCACTGAAAGCTTTGAATTGTGAGATCCTAGCTAATAAAACATTTATAAGTTATTACATTATTTTGAAATTTGTCTGTTTAGAATTTTGAAAATTGGTCTTAATTAGCGAGTTAAAATCACCCATGATTTCTCTGCATTTTTTTAATGGTTCGCTTATTTTCGCTGTTACTTTTTAAGTAAACACATGCCGTTTATTATTACAAACATGTAAATCAACCGCCTGAAACAGTAAACTTTCATTATCTTGAAACTAGATAACTGACATTTTCCTAAATCTGCGTAGTACTATCTTTTAAAACTAAAGTTTTAGTGTGGCTATTTTAATTTAAAGGTCAAACACTGCTCATTAGATTCTCACACAAACATGTTGGGTAAAACAGATTTAATATTTGCTTAACAATGATTAGGTCGGACAGTTGAGAACATCTATGAATGCCGATTTGTCTCTGATCTGCTTACTTATCTTTTAATACTTGGTAAAAGATTGTATGGCAAAAAGACATACAAACGGTAAGTCAGAAAATAAAAACAGGCGTTATCATTGTTCAGTTGAAAAATTCCTGTTCCCTCAAGATCTCACCCTGTTTAAAATCCTGAATGATTATAGGCCACATGCCGACGTAAAGCTAACTTTTTAGTCGTAAATTAATTTAAAACCTTCTTGGTCAAAAATTTGTACAAAATAGTCATTTTAGTTCACAAGATCCTAAGCTAAAGATCGAACAGTCGTGAATTCTCACAGATTTCACTATTTTATGGAGTTTTTCCAGCCAAAGAAGTAAATGATTTAGTTAATTACTGCAATTATTTGTAAATTTTATTTTGCTGCTTGTATCATGTAAGTTATATCATTATTATTTTTACTCTGTGGCAGGAAAAACTCCATAAAATAAGTGATACATGAGATAATTGAAAGTTCAATACTAGCAACATAAACAACTAATGACGTTTTTGGCCAAAATTTTCGTCCTACTATATTATAAAACTATAGTTTTCCTATGACTATTTTAATTCAAATGTTAAACACTTCTCATCCTCAGATTTTGGTCAGAACAAGTCTAATTGTTAGCTAAACAATGCTTAGTTGGTCAGTTGTACTTTTCTAAGTTATCGGTCGTTTGTGGCTTCGTCTCGGTACGTCAAATTTTGCGTCCCTTGTTATCTCTGTTCATTATATTTAATGAAATTTATATCAGATACGTTTGATTAGTGAGTCAAATAAAAGGTTTCTGGTTAAATTTTCTTACTTTTCTGTTCTGATGGAAGAAAACTTTATTAAGCTTTCTGTAACAATTGTTTAAACTTTTTCTTTTTTTTCTTCTTCTTCTGTTTTATCATTTTAAAAACAATACACTAACATTCTGTGTGCTATTTTATGAACACGTAATACATAGACCAACGTAATATCAAAAGCTAAACAATTGCGCGGATAACAGCTAAACAAGAAGATTAATAGATAATTTTCGTATATGATATTTTATTATTGTCTTGTTATAATTGTCTATGTCGAGGGAAAGCTTCTGGCCTAAAACGGCCATTTAAATGATTTTATGACCTAAAAAGCAGTTGTGCAAAGGTTTTTTGATTTAAACTAATCCTAATACAATTAGATGTATTACAAGTCCGGATAAAACGGAGTTTGTTAGTTAATGAGTATTTTTTCAAATATTTTTGACATACTTTGTTGTAGGACCGTAGTGCAAATTTAGCATCAAAATTCTGTTTTAACAGGTTTCGAACTAAAGGGTTGTTTGTAAACCGAATTCCTGACCTAAAAAATCAGCGAATTTATTCCCTAAAACATACACCTTTGTATCATGCAACAAGATTAACACTTTTACACTTCATCATTCGGGCATGTGCTAGTTTATAGGTGCGTAACACGCAAACCAACGTAGTATCAAAAAAGCTAAATAATTGCGTAGATCACTGCAGAATCTGAAGAATATTCGATAATTTTTTTGAAATATATATATTTTTGTTAGGGTCTTGCTATTGCTGCGTATGTTTAGTTTGACGCTTTTCACCTAAAACAACCGTTGTAAGTGAGTTTCTGACCTAATTAGCCGTTCTAAAAATCCTTTTGGCCTAAAATATCCCTAGTTCACCAAAAGATTAAGAAGTTCAATTCATTCGTTAAAAAGCAATGTCGTACAACTTTACGTTCTAAACATCCTCAGTACAACTTCACTATTTAATGGCCGTCTATTTTGGGTAAAAAACTTAGAGTTGAAATTTGAAATGATGTTGATAATAATACCCTTTTTATGATAAATTGTTAGGCCAGAGTAGGTTTCAGGGTAAATCTATTCATACTGGTTTGATTTATTAATTTCATTGGCTTTTATCTTTCTTAGAAATTGTTTGACCTCTTACACATCCTAAACGATTTATTTTATTATGTGTACTGATTAATGGTTTTCTTTCATTAGAGATTGCTTTTTCGTAATTGTATCGTGTATTGTGACGATCTTTGCAACTTTATATATTATTTACTTAAAACAGCATTGTTGAATGTGGGGGCGATTTGTTAAATTTTACTGTAAAATGGGTTCTACATCTATCCTAGAGTTTTACGTTTGGGGTTTTTCAAACAGAGCTTTTTTAGACGAGCTTATCTATTATTTTTGAACATCAAAAAAAAGTAAATTACCGAACAAGTTATTACTCTCGTTCGCTGCAATTTACGCGTATCTTTGACCGTGGAATTTTACGGTTCGAAACGTTCGTGCTTCCGGTCAAAGAACAGTTAAATATCTTTAATTTCGACTTCTTCTTGCTCGAATTAACTTTTTTTAAAAAGTTCATTCGTTATTTATTGACACCTTTGTCATCTTTCAGTAAAAACTGTGTTTATTGTCTTTAAATGTACATTTAGGTGAAGTATTTAAAAAAAAATAAATACCACTTTATATTGTTATGAAGAACGATCGCAAATTTCTCCACAATAATCCTTGCTTTGCAGTCAAAAGGGTTTTCTGTAAACAAGGTTAAAGCAAAACAAACTTCCTTGTCTTATTTCCATTCATTGTCGAGGTTTGATACAAATTAGCTAAATATTTTAGTTAAATGGATTTATATTTTAATTATTTAGTGATTTGAATTTTTTTATATAATCCTATATAACTGCCTAGGGAGGTACTTTGTTTCTACTCTACTGTGAAAATTAAAAAAGAAAGAAAGAATTTAGCAATTAATTGAAAACATATTAACATATTAAACATATTAAAAAAAACTTATACGTGCTGTACAATCATATTAAAAAAAACTTATACGTGTTTAAAGTGGTTGTCCTATTTTCCAGGTGTTGTTTTATTATATTTTTTCTTTATACAAGGTGTCCCATGAACTGACGTCTCAGGAACTATTTTACATATCAAATTGGACTAAAAAATCTCTATTGTGCAAAGTCTAATCCTCAAGTGTATTCAAGATATTTCGCTGTTTTGGTTACTTCAACCTTTCCCAACTTTATTCCATATCCTCTCTTATCTCGTAAATCGTTAATCTTAATGTAAATTTTATTACGCAGAGAAAGGAACATTGAAAACCCTAGGGCGTTAATTTTTTATTTATTTATTTAACTATAAGGAAGTTTTGGTCTAAGATGTATTTAAGGATTAAAAGCTTCAATTATGATTTTATGCAGGCCAGATCCAAGGTGATTTCCGATTGTAATCTCGAACACCCATTACAGTTGATTATGTTTACCTGGTCAAATACAAACAGTCGCTTTCACAACGTTGAACATCAACCTAAGCACCATGTACTTTACTTCCTAAGCACACCGTAATCCACCCCTCTCCCTGAACGTACACCTTTTTGGTTTCTTCGTTCCCCATTGGCTTTGGTATTTGTTTTGTTTGTGTTTCTTGGTTTTAAAGGTCACCTTTAAATGGAAACAAAGACCACTCCGTTCCATTATCTATTGAATAATCTGGTTTATTGTGATGAGAACATTGTCAGATAATTAATAGGGGGCCATTAACCTCCAATTGGAAGCGTGATGACAGGATCAAGTGGATAACAAAGGTAACGTGTAATTAATGTCGATATTTTATGGTTTTATTATTGTTTATTTGAAACTTATTATTGTTTTCCTGTTTTGTGAAGAGTTGTTTTAACACAAGCTTACTGTGTCGAGCATCTCTAGAGTTTATTCACTTCTTCTTTTGTCTTTTTTCAATCCATTCTGATATGGATGATTCTACGTTCGTTTTTGTGTTCCCAAGAATAGGTTCCGGGCCTTGCAGATCCTCCTCTTGCCAATTTGTCTGTCTTTTCCTTACCCAAAACTTCTTTGGGCCCAGGTACCCAAGATATGTTGTTCGTGTTTCCCAGGCTTTGAAGATTTTCATTCATTGACTAATTTTGAGGCGATATTTTACATGCAAATGCTTTAAAAGTAGCTCTTATTCGATGATATGAGGATTTTTTTGTAAGTGTAACCTTTATTACGTCTAAGGTACAAGCGTTGATGGCATGCTTCTAGTTAGTTGTAAGATCAGTCATTACAGGGCCTTGACAGATTGACCTGTTTTTTTATGTCTTTTTAGACAATTTGTTGTCTTTGATTTAAAAACGATTGATTTAATAATCGTCGTACCTAATTTAGGCTTATTTGCAAGTTTGTCCTTTTTTTCATTACTTTATCCAGTCCTGGTATCAAAAAGATGCCTGAAATTTGTTAATTTTTTAATCATTCTTACGATGATACGGCAACCATACTAAACCCCACCAATTCCATCATGAGACAACAAAAATAAAGGTAAAAATAAGATAGTTGTAAGTAGATAAATTGTTAATTCTGTTTGCTTACTTGAATATTAATAGTTATTATTAATATTTCTCTGCAAGTGCTGAAACCTGTGTAAAGCTCAATGGTATTTTTTTTTTGAAATTGCATCTTTCAAAACTTTTATTACGGAATGTCAAGTTGTCGTTTAGGCGTGAATAATTCGAATAAGATTGTTTTCCTTCCCGAAGCACGAGAGCGATTCGGTGATGATATCAACGAAATATTTCTCCAAGGACATTCCGGCCCCTCTCGGCATCCTCAGGAGCGAGGATGATCGTGACAGCTATGATCTCACCCTCCTAGGACGAGGATGAAGCCCTCGGCCATTTTTCAAACTTCAATTATCCGTGATCGATCGACAATTCAAGAATTTCTCGAGTGAATGCCGGAACTGTACTTCCCATTGAGCCAAAAAAAAGAGAAAAAAAAGGAAAAAGCAGTTTTCATCCTGTTGTGTAAGTTGTTGAAAGAAAATGAAATTAATCGAAGTGCACTTTAGTCTTACTTTACTAGTTTTTGTAAATAAACTGAATACTCAACAAGGCCCTTGGTGTTTATGAGATGATCCAGTGTAGTATGTAGAAAGTAGAACAAATAAACAATAAGAAGAAAAACGTGCCACAGACATTAATTACTATGTTATTATTTTAAAAAATCATGAATCATTTATCTATTTAGTCAGGAATGAGGTACGTTCCATTTCAGCTGCAATCTTTTTCGAAGTGTCATCAACGAAATAAGCCCTTGCTTGTTAGGCAAAAAATCGAACCCCATTTCTATTCAAAGATGCGAACCGATTTTTCTTGATATCAGCATTCAATCTGTCGAACCCGGACCGGCGTTTGATGGATATGTAATTTCTTTATCAGGACCGAGTCCATAAAGGATTTACCTCCAATCCCGGCGAATAGATTTATTTGGGAGTACCTTTATGTTTAGTTTGATTGGAAGAATAAAAATTTCGTATTCATTATCTAATCTTTGACAAAGTGGATCGTTATCTAAGCGTTTGGATAAGAAAAAAACGTAAACAAAAATTTATTTAGAAATCGTGAGATGTGGTCTGGTGTGATGTAGGTTTCAGAAAAACATTTTCTTTATCGTGCCAACGTTTCGATCTTTATTGAGTTCTGAAGATAATCTCAATAAAGATCGAAACGTTGGCACGATATTTTTCTGAAACCTACATCACACTAGACCGCATCTCACGATTTCTAAATAAATATCGATTAACGGTCACTAATCACCACACATTTAAACAAAAATACTACCCCATTCAATCAGCCTGACATTTATTTTTATTAACAATAGCTTTCGAGCTTTGGGAAGAAAAACAATTTTATTAAGTCTTATATCTTAAATCTTATATCTTATCTTAATCTTAGTAATGATAATTATATTGATAATGACTATTAATAGTAAAGAGAAAGAATGTGTGAATATAATTTATTAGCGTGAAAATTAGGTCACATCTCCAAGTACCCAAGGAATATTGAGTACTCTGGGGTAGTGTGAATGCTTACTAACCTTACTATCATGTTTTTATCTTGTCTCTGTACTTCTTTCCCTTCTGTACTTCTTTCCGTATTTTAACTATTTACATTCCTACAACCATGTATGTAGAGTTTTTGTTCCTTATTTCTTTATTCATTTATTTTGATAGAAGGATCATTCAGAGTCATTTGCGATTGCATCCAGGCCTGCCAGACATCGGGGAAAATAACAAACTTACACTTGTTTGGGGACCAGAGTGTACAGGGCAACAAGGAGGGTGATAAATTGGCCGAGGAAAGTACAATCAGGACACCTATTTACTCCCCCCCCCCCTTTTGTGGCATAAAATATTCAAATCAGAGATCCATCAGATTATAGGTTAAGAATAAGCCTTTAATTGCATAGAATATAATGTATTCCAAGATAGAGATATGTGAAAAATTTCACTAAAGGACTGTCATAGAACAACAACGTACAAATATTTGGATCTAGTATAAAGCCTTAAGATTAATGAAGATGGACAATGATGGAGATTCCACAAAACACTAATATCGGTTGTGGTGAACAAGGTTATATATAAATAGGCCATCTCCTTTTAAATTTATCCATTGTGGTATAGGCATGTTTTGTAATAGTTTTTTTATAAAAGATGCATATTTCCTTTTCTTTACATACTACACAACTAATCATTTAATGGCCTTCTATCTTAACCCACCCTGTTAAATAAAAGAAAGTTCCAGCAATGGTCGGTTCCATTCTCCATTTCCTCTCGGTCTGACAGATCTGTCATATTTGTATATGACTATGCTATTTGAACAGATAGTGATAAATAGAATAAATAAAAAAATCTACTCACTGTAAAGGAGCCAATTCCTATTGTGAAAATGTTTTTTGATAAATATGTTTCTATTTCTTAAAAATAATAATTGTAAAAAACATATATATACACATTATATATATAAACGNTATATATATATACATTATATCTTAAAACAACAATATATACATCTTAAAACTTAAAAAAAAAACCAACATCTTAAAATGTTGGTACTGAGTCAAAGAAATTTGAAACATTTATTAAAAATTTAATTATTTTAATTTGTAGACATCTTTAAGATTGTTTTACTCTAATGATGACCTTTACAATAATGAATTTACAATAAAAATTTAATCTAAATTATAACGAGTTAGTCGCACAGTCTAAAAAAAGCATACTTGTTTTCAACAGAGCTATATGAGATAATCTATTTATTATTAAAAATCACAGTGAAAATATACAATAGGTTTTTAAAAGGTAGTTAATCCCTTGGTAATACGAACCAACTATTTTATCACTATGCTTAATGTATTTTTTAAAATCTAAAATACAACAATATAGTATATACATTTTTTTTAATATCCATAAATAATACTATTTCTACTCATTAAAATAAATATTTATTTAGTGTAATGTATTAATAATCACGTTTTTCCAAAACAATTTGATGAGCAGGTCACCAAGTCAAATTTAATTTTTTTATTTTATTTTAAAAAATAATACAATCTGTTAAAAATATCACACATTCTAAAATCTAGTGTACCTAACACTTATAGTATTTAAATTTTATAATATACAATAAATAAATGCTAGTAGATGTATTTTTAAACATTATAACTGTTTTTATTACACAATTCAATTTTTTTAAAATTTACTGTGTTCTGGGGAAAATATGCATCTCTTCAGAACATTATTTTTAAAACTTGATTAAAGCTGTTTATTTTAAGTACACATTCAACTTTCATTTACTCATTTATTTGCTTTGTTTTGTTTGTCATCCCAAATTGTATAAATAATCTATGCTACACGAATGGACATCTGTTAGTAATAATTTTTCATTTTTCCAATTGACTACCTAGGGGACGTTTTACAAATGATGAACGTCTATGCTGGGACAGTCTTCCAAAAGCTCTTACACATTAATTTTTTTTTCAAGTACTACATTAATCTAATCAGAAGTGTTCTGATTGAACTAAAATTCTGAATAAATGATAAACTTTCTAACATCAACCATTCCTTTAGAGTAACAGTTCTCAACCCTTTCCGCATATCTCCTAATGGTTTGGATCCCCAAAGTATACCATGGCCATTCTCGACTTAACTACCCATTCCGTCCACAACCTGAAGAAAGTACATGCATTTTCATAAAATGAACATGAAGAAGACAGTAGTACAGATTATCAAGTAAATCACACACATCGACAAAAAACAAACACTCTACAGGACACCACTATGGGGCACTACTATACAGATGAGAACTATAGGGCATCGCTAAACCTTCCAATATCTAAAGAATAAAATCATTCCAATGCTCAGTACTTTGCCAACACTCCCTACTACACTTCCCTTCACAATGTCCTCCAAGTTTACTCCTTGTACCCATAATTGTTATTTATTTATTAAAATATTGTATTTATTAGAAAGTGTATTCAAAAGGATTAACCAGCAAGGGGGAGACCTATTAGATTAGATAAATTAATAATAAAAAAAATTTCCCTTCTTCCTTGGGTCTTCCCTTTCAGGGCAAGGTCGAAGGAAGATGTTAAGCACAATAAGATCCCCTAAACTTGCATCCCATTTGAATTAGTTTAGTGGCCATGGTCCGCCGGTATGGGGTCTCCCTTAGGTACGGCGGGAAGGTGGATGGGAAAAAAAATGTCCTCCAAATATTTTTTTGTTAAAAACCAAATCACAGATTTTCAAATGATCAATAGTAACTGTTTAGAAAAGCTGGGAGAACAATAATGGTTATTAGCTCTACTCAGAATATATCAATGTCAAATGAGAAAAGTGTATTTTGTAATAAAGTTTGTAATAAAAATAAATAAATAAATAAAAATGATAATAAATAAAAGCAAGCTATTGTTCCGCAAGGCAGGACAACGACAGTTCTAACATGTAAATCAAAACCTATGTGATCGATAAAATCAAGAACACCTAGACTGCCTGGTGCCTGGTACACTGAGTGGCAGATCCAATTAAGTGAGCAAAAAAGCCATCATGTTTACACTCAGCCTTCAGATCTACCCAGTACTAATAATAACAAGATAATTCCTACATCCAACTAAGTTGGCCTTAATTTAAATAAATGACTCCACCTAAAACCTTAGTTCTTAAAGGACCTTAAATTAATGTTTATCTCCTTTTTTTGTATTTTATTTCTTATTTTTATTATACTTATTGTATATTATTATTACATAACAAAGTAACTGCCCCATGGATTTCCAGGAATCACAGGTGGAGCCCTACAAAGTTGATTAAAAGGTTCCATTTTGCTGGTTCGGTCGTCTTCCACCGAAGAAACTCAATTTTGAAAACAGTAAGTGCTGACTGAAGCAAAGATAACCCCAAGACCTCCTAATCAATAGTAAGTAACTATTTAGAAAAGGTAAGGCATTGTAACAATCGAAATCATGAATATGTAATTCAAGTTGTCAAGGCAATTTTCCAAAATTTACTTTTTATGTGTACACCCAGGTTGAGAACCATTGCTTTAAAGAATTCAAAAATCATATAAATGAATTAAGTTTGAATTGAGTCAACAATCATGCTTATAAGAACAATTGATGAATTTGGTGTTCCTCCTATATTTTCTAAATAAAATTTCATTCTGGAAGGCCCTGCCACTTTATTTCACATTATATAAATTATTTTTTTGTTTAGTTTACTACTTTACCTAGCTAATATTTATATCTTAAACATCATTAAAACATTATATATCACCACATAGTTTGCTTTCCAAATATTGTTAATTTGTAAAATATTAACAAGACAATTTAATTCAATAATTTGAAGAAAAAAAGTTTTACACTTAAATATAAATTGTTATAAAATTTTTGTACACCCACAAATTATAGAAATAAAAGACAAACTTGGGTTTTATACAATGAAATAATATTATTTTTCCTGTATTTCTTAGTATAATGTTAATGGTAACATCAGTTTCACACCTATTCACAGCTATGACTATGAAACTTACATTATAAAACAATTAACAACTTTGTGAGCATGTCATCTTGTTGGTATGATGTCAGGCGATATGGACGAGATATCTGTTCTAAACAGGACGCCTAAGACATGCCTCTGCTTCGGGCGACACCACAATACTTCCTAAAACATTAAAATTAAAATGAATACGTTAACTCCTCCTAAAAGATTTTCTAAACAATATATACATACAAAAACTATAACAATCTTTTTAGAAACGGAGATTATTACACACACACACACACACACACACATACACACACACCCACACAAAATGATGGACACAAAGCCTGTTTGTACCCCAATAGATAGAACCTGGAATGTTATAAGAATCTCAGGCTAAGCCATAATATAAATTAAAGCTTCACTGAAGATGGGAAGAAGATGAAGGGCATTTCATTTGTGTGAAATCTAAAACTGAGAGAGTAGATTAAGTTAGTAGATTAGTAAAGTGATCAACTGCCAATCAAAGTTGATTGTTGGTCTGCATGTTAGTGAACAACATCTGCCAGACATATTGGACTGGGTTCAGCTTACACTCCAGATTTAGATCAAGTTCGTCATTGAAGAAAGTGTGAAACTGAAACATGCTTGAGTGACATCAAAACCTGCAATTGTATGTGGACCCAGTAAATGAACCAGTGTCGATTTGGCAAGTGTCAATCAGTTCAGGTTACCTGTATATACATAAACACATACACTTCTTGCAGCCTTCTGGCAATTTATAACAGCTTTTCTGTAATTTATAATAAATTGTCAGCAGGCCTTGGATGTTTTGGCTCTTGGTTTCTATCCTCCACCTCCAAGCCCCATCAATAGCTAGGTTATTTTAGCCCCCCCAATGCAATCTGTTTTTAGATCCAAATCCACTCACACTCTCACTCTTAAATACAATATTTCCTATATACCGATCACTCAGAGAGGTGGAAATACTTGATATTCTTTCATGACCCTCCACACATAACTAATCTAATTGAGGGTAAATGGGATATTCAATATTCTGCCATTGCGGCTATTGGCGTGAATCCACGCTAATAAATACATTTATTTTCAATATACACAAAGAAACACAAGGCAAGATATCTATAAAATATTATATAAAGTGAAACAACCCTGTTTTTTTCTAAAAATCAGATCAGGGGACCCAGTAACTCGCTCCTATGCACAATTTTCATGTTAGGTACTGCTTTGCTACATGCTTTCATATGGAGCCTAGGAATAGTACTCTTCAATTAAGTGTTGCACATTGAGCAATGTTTCTCTACATACTGGACACAGTTGGCTTTGGCCCAAAAATATCTGTGTTTCAACCTCACATGACCTCTTCTTAATCAGTTGAGGATAATCTTTCTTCTATGGTTCAGATCCTCCGAGACCTCTTGATATGAGAGTGTTTCACTGCTAATCAGGCCCGTCGATGCTGCCAATTTTTTTAAATTATATACTTTATTACATTTTAGCTTGAGAGGGCTGAATTGCTGGGGTCAGGTTCAAAGTTTAGGGACATCCTGACCTTAACTTTCCGTTATATTACCCTCCAGGTATAAATATAGTAAAAATGATAATCTTTTCATGTTTTACCATTGTGATATTTGACTTCACACTTCTGAAGAGCGTCCAAAAGTTCACACCAGCTTTCTTTATTTCTAGGGTCTGCTGGACCCCATTCTGGAGTTGGTTTTATAGCTTCACGCATTTTCTGTTAATAAAACAAACGTAATATTAATCCTTAATTAATATAAATATATATAAAAACTTACTCCCATGAATGTGGTACTTTTTGTTTTGCACAAAACTACTATAGCCCAAAGTGGGATTTGTAGTGTTGAAATACCGGCTAATGCCCAGCCAATCCCATCTGCCCAGTCAGGGTAATCATAGTTCTCATATCTCAACGGCTTATATACAATTAAAGAGTAGACAAAAATGACCTGAAAATAAAATCATTTCACTTGATGAAGCATCAAAGTTGATAATGTACTTATTGGGGCGAAAAATATGATCCCTGACGCATGTGCAAGCAATTTCAACAACTCAAGCTAACAGAAAATTAATGAAAAACAATGGACTAACTACTTTCTTAAAGACTAAAGGTGATACAGGCAGAACTGGAAGTGCAAATTTTTTAATATGATTTGAGCAAGATTTGAAAATGAAAAAATTAATGAATTAATTAATAGACAATTAAAATTGTAAAATTTTGTGTTCCTTTCTTGTTATGTCTGAGTGTATGTTTTGTCTATATTATAACATTATCCAAAACACTCACCTGAAAAAAATCCACTTGCCAGCATTCTTTGCATTTTTAATTATTTAAAAAATTAATCATAAAAACAAATAACTGAATGGGAACTAAATTAGAGAAAGATTATATTTTAATAACACAAGTGCTTTGACTTTATGTGACTTTTCTCAGGATTCTACATGCCCCAAAAAAAAAAGATTGGTTAAGTCGAAATTCTAACAGATGTATGTACACTTCAAACAATAAAAAATCTTTACAATTTTGTTTATAACAAAGAAATATGTGTATAATAGAACCTTAATCAATTAATATAAAATAATAACTTAAGAAAAAATAAGTACAGAAGAAAAAATACATCCCATAAAATTAAACATAATGAAAAAAGTGATGTGTTTATGGAATAATTATTGTAAACTAAAGCCACAAATTATATGTCCAATATAATACAATAATACAAGTGCTTTTTAAACTTAAAAAATATTTTCTGGTTGTAAAAAAAATTACAAATTGCCTTTTTTTTGTCAGAAGCTGTGGCAGTAAAGCAGCATAACGATTTTCTGGTGATCTTGCCAAACTTTTTTCATAAAATAAGTATACTAAATATTGATTTTGTAATAAAACAAATTGATTTTGCATGCTTCATTACATTCTTGAATTTTAAAACATTCCAAAGTGCTTGAAATACTTTGGTGGCAAATCAGTATAAAATTGAATGTTTACAAAGGACAATTTTTCTTCTCTCTCTCTCTCTCTCTCTCTCTCTCTCGCTCGCAAGATTTAATTTAAAGAAAAACTGTACTATTTACTACTTATGAAAACTTATATGTTAAAAATGTTTTCAAGAAGAGTAAATATTCATAAAAATAGTTTTAAAAATTAATCTTTCTATATAAAAAAAATCATTCATCAAACTGGAGAAAAAATATATTTGTAAAAAGATTTAAGCTTTATAAAGATAAACAGTTTTATAGAAAAATTGTAATAGTGAAATATTTTCTACTGAGCAAATAGAAAAAAAAGTGTTGTAACAATGCTTTGTTTAAAATTGAAGTTTAGCCCCAAACGTAGTGGCTAGGCAAATGCTAAGCACAATTTAACTACCTTCTACATCTAGAAATTTTGCCTGACTGTTGGTATGCCGAGAGGATCTCTGCAAACGCATATGACCATTCTTGGAAAACTTCCCCAACTTTGGAAAAATTAAAATTATTATCTTTTGGTTTGTTTTTTGAAACAAATTTTTAATTTTTTGTGTGGTTGACTTCCATGCTGTGAATTAGCAGACATATTTTTTTTTTGCTTGGTAGGAATTGGAAGTCGAGAAGGTTATTAAAGATATAAATATTTAAAACGGGTCATTTAATACTTACACCAAGAATCACAGGTGCAAAGAAAACCCACGTTATCCTCCAATAACAGCTAGGTTGAAAACCAAGCATAAATTTCATATCTCTGCATAGGTTTTTCAAACCTAAAAAATGAAAAATAAATTTGATATAATATTTATTAACAGAAAACATATTTTATTTACATTAAAAAAAAGATCTACTTACCATATATCCACACTAAAGCTATGCTTTCAGCAATTGCAATAAATAATACTGCCATTCCACCACCATAAACATCCATTAATGTTAAAACATAATTACCACCCTGAAAATTATTGTAATATATTTTTTAAATTAATTCATTAACTTTTCAATTGTAAAAATTTTACTCACATAAGTGACACATGAAAGTCCCACCGTATAGCAGACTATTGCAGTTACGATACAAAATGTTAATTTATGTTGTCGAAGAATGGGAAATTCGTCTGATAAGCTGGTTAAAACATTTTCTAACAAAGCAAACTAAAAACAAAAAAATTGATGTAAACAAAAAATGTATATTACAAAAAATTCTTTATTACAGACCTCACTATCTAAACCGAGAATGAACAGCATAAGAAAGAAAAGAATAGACCAAAGTTGTGGCACTGGAAGCCTAAGCAAAGCCTCTGGGTAAGCAATAAATGCTAATCCTGGACCTTCTTTAACAACGTGACTTATTGGCACATTGAGATCATGCGCCATGGCTCCAAGAATAGAGAAAGTCACTATACCAGATATAATGCTTGTAATGGTGTCCATCACACTCACAACAAGGGCATCTCTGCAATAAAACAATCCACAAATACTTAAAAATTTGTATATAAATATTATTAAGATTAACTATTAAAAATTATTATAAAAATTATTAAATTATTAATTAAAATTGAAATTTATTTATTAAATTATTAATTGAAATTATTATTAATATTATTAAGATTAAGATTACTATGATCTAAATATTATCTACAATGATTATAAGAATGAAATATTGAAATATCTTTTTATAATCAATTGTTACAAGTTCTACATATTACTTTTTTTTGGCAATAATGCAATTGTAATTATTAAAAAAATAAAAAAATATATATATACCTGTACACATTATTCCTGAAATCATTGTATGAACTGTACATTATAAGGCCTCCCATTGATACGCTTAATGAAAAAAACATTTGTCCTGCTGCTGCTTGCCAGACTTGAATGTCGAGCAATTTTTCCCAAGCAGGATAAATGAAATAGACGACGCCGGACCAAGCCCCATCTTGGAGGAGCCCGGTGACAAGCAGTGTGAACAGAATGACATAAGGAAATGTCGCAGCAAAATAAACAACCTAAAATAATAAATGTAAGTTGTAAATGCCAAGTTTTATAATTTTTATCATTATTCTTAATTATACATATACACAATTAATTATACACAATTTTTAATTTCAAAAATGATGGGTGTAATTAATTGAGTATAAGTTATAAATGTTTTATTCACATATTACAAAAAAACAAAAAAAAACAGACCTTGCCAGAAGTTTTGATTCCTTTGATCAAACACAATACAACAATGATCCAAGAAAACAGCAGACAAAGTGCGAGATCCCATTTGATTGGGCCTATATTTTCAATCCCATCAGATAGCTTCAAGACATGCCTCCTACAAAATATCAATGTAATACAGTTTTCAAAATTCAATAATTTTTTTTAAAACTTACTCCCAGTACTGTAAACTGGCTGTCTCCTTGGTCGCATTTTCAAATATAGCACTTGAATTCAATGATGAGTTGAAAATCTGAAAATGTAAATATAATTATTATCCTGAGAAAAATGAATATTAAGTTGAAGAACCCACAGGAGTTTCGCCTCTGACATAGCATGTCTCCATGTTTGCCCATTCAGGATCGCATTTGCTCCAAGGTACTTCTGGTGCAAACGATGCCGTCATGTAGAAAACAGTGTACGACATTATCACATTATAGTAAATACAAACTATGAGTGAGACAGTGATCATTGCACAACCCACACCTAAAAAGGAGAAAGCAGATTTTTTTTTTACAAAAATTTCATATAACATAAAATTTATACCTCTGGCTAAAGGGCAGCAGTTCCAAAGAGCTAATGGACCGACACCGCTGAACTGCCCGACAGCCAGTTCAAGAAAATACATTGGCTTCCCAGCAAGGACCAACATGACGAGATAGGGAATTAGGAAGGCACCTGAAACACAATAAACTGGAAGTATTAACCATCACAATCTAAAATATTAGAAAAACATCACAGATTTTTATAAATTGACCTTAAATATTATAGTTTATAATTTAACTTGAGCTGGAAAAAGTGGAAAATTGACTGGACAGCAGAATATGTAGATCTAACCGAATAGTCTAACAAGCTTAGTTGATTATTTATATATAATTTTACTGTTATATTTAATTATTCTTTTTATCTAAGGTTAGTGTCACACGAAAAAGTTAGTGTCACAAGCTTCACCAACATCTGATCACTCAAGTGGTTAGTCCAGCGTGTATTGAGCCGAAGGTCACAGGTTCGAATCCTGCCCATGACACTAGCTTTTTTGTCTCAACCAAGACCTTAAATAAAAAGAATAATGATGAAATTTTTGTAATCAATTTTCATATGATCTTCTAAGAGCCCAATTATATCAAAAACGCCCAAAAATACAGGAATTTTACACATGCTTATATTTCATATCATCTCCTAAGTTTTTTATTACTTCAAAGATAGGGTTAATCTTAAATTAAAAAAGGTTAATTTGATGCGAAAAAGCTACAATTATATTTGTATTATAACACAATTTGTACAAACTTTTTAGAAAATTACTCGAACTTGATTATTTGACAAAAATGTATGAAATGCGTTTTGGAAAGACTTTCATTAGCCTAAATCATACATTCGTTATTGAAAATGGCGTCAGTTACAAAATAAATATTTGCCTGAGGTTGCTATAATACAATTTGAAATCATCGTGTAATAACTATTATGAACTTTCAAGTTTGTCTTAAAAAAAAAAAAAATTTGGTATCTAAAAATGTCCTAATATATTATTTATTCTTCAGCAACATATTTTTTTAGGTTGTAATAAAGTTTTAAGCGGGCTAACAAAACTGTTGTCGTCATACAATAATTTTCTAATGTTCCATTAAGATTTTAATTTTTTGTTGTTGTTAAATGTTAGTAAATTTACAAAAGGGGTTAATTTGATGGAAAAACTATATACAGAAATTTTATTTTCCATGCCATATTTCATATCATCTTCTAATTTTTTTATTACATAAATAAACTCTATTGTAAACAATTGACCAAATTGATGTGTCTGTTAATTGGAACTACACTGAAATAAAAAAAACGAATTAACGGATTTTTATAATTTAAATCGGAGACTATCATGACATAAGTTGTTATGATTAGTATATCCATTGCGCCGTGAAATATCTTTGGAATGAAATATTGAGATCATTATAATTACGTAGCGCTAGATGGATCATGACCAGACTGAATTTTTATAATTTGCCTCATCCTATCATTTTTTTAAACATACTTATATTTGTGGTGATTAGTGACCGTTAATCGATAATTATTCAGAAATCGTTAGATGCGGTCTGGTGTGATGTAGGTTTCAGAAAAACATTTTCTTTATCGTGCCAACGTTTCGATCTTTATTGAGATCATATTCAGGGCTCAAAGTGTTTGTATTCTGTGCAATTGTGCCATTTTTGAGTGGGCGCTCTCAACACGACACGCAAAAATGGCACAATTACACAGAAGACAAACACTTTGAGCCCTGAAGATGATCTCAATAAAGATCGAAACAATTGATTAAGGTTTTTAGTTGAGATGAAAAAAAGTTAATGGCACGAGAGGGATTCGAACCCACACCTTCGGCTAGATACGCCGCTGCTCTACCACCTGAGCTATCGTGACCTCGATCCACTCGGACATCAACTCCCCATCTCACCCCCACCTTATGAGTTTTCCCTCCATTTGCCATTTTTCAAATGTCGTGTAATCGGTTTGGATTCTCGACGACAATTGAAATGGCGACGGAGAGCTTTAGTGAAGTGTACTTCAGTTAATTCATTAAATTCACTAATTTCGTGGTCCGCTTGACCAATTAAACATTACAATTAATTAAGGTTTTTAGTTGAGATGAAAAAAGGCAGGAAAAAGGAAAAATGGCAAATGGAGGGAAAACTCATAAGGTGGGGTTGAGATGGGGAGTTGATGTCCGAGTGGATCGAGGTCACGATAGCTCAGGTGGTAGAGCAGCGGCGTATCTAGCCGAAGGTCGTGGGTTCGAATCCCTCTCGTGCCATTAACTTTTTTTCATCTCAACTAAAAACCTTAATTAATTGTTTCGATCTTTATTGAGATCGTCTTCAGGGCTCAAAGTGTTTGTCTTCTGTGTAATTGTGCCATTTTTGCATGTCGTGTTGAGAGTGCCCACTCAAAAATGGCACAATTGCACAGAAGACAAACACTTTGAGCCCTGAATATGATCTCAATAAAGATCGAAACGTTGGCACGATAAAGAAAATATTTTTCTGAAACCTACATCACACCAGACCGCATCTCACGATTTCTGATTAATCATATACTTATACTTTGTTGCATATTTTAGTATTTTCAAGTGAGTATTCTAATTAATTATAACCAGGCATATTGAAAATAAACCACACAAAACCTAATTGTCACTCTAATAATCCGTTATTCAGGGATTGTCTGAGGAGTAGAGTTTCTGAGAAGCTGGATTTTATAGGGCGAGTAACAATTGTTACTGGAGGAGAGTTAATGGGCTGAGGTAGAGCTTGTGTGATCACTTGGCATTAATGTTTAAGTTAATATACTTAGGTTGAGACCAAATGTAATGAAACATGCTAGGCTTTCAAAAGGCTTAACAACCGTCAACAGTGCACATACACACTTGTTTAACTCGAAGCGGGCCAACTTGGCCTTGGCGTTTCAATCTTTAATCTAATTTCCTTTTATGACGGTGAAACGGATCGATTCTTCTTGTGTTCTATGTTTAGACGCATAATTTCAGCATCACCCACGCATCCGAGGCGTTTGTGGGTTTCGTAATGCACATCGAGCATTTCTTAATAATTTTAAAAATACTTAAAACCCTTATTTTGAAAGATTAGGCCTTATTGAAAATTTTCTGACAGTTTAAAACGTAATGTAATATTTTTTTAATTTGTAATTTTTCAAAACACAAAGTAAACAATTGAAGCACTCGAGAAACTGTAGAATTTAATGTTACACCGCTAAAATAATCGCACGGCTCATTTATAACAGATATTTAGTAAGAAATACATTTTATAACAGGTTGAAAGACAAGGGTGAAAGACATGGAAAATATGTATATGACGCGCGGGGGGCAATCGATAATGCGCTACAGAGCACAGGTATGAAGGCTTGGATCTTCGGAGAGGCAGGCAGGGAAAGATGGAAAGATTTGTCTCCAATATATGCGGATCCCCCGACATCCGATAAAACCTCGTCTGCTCCCTGGGCGGAATACGTCTTTTGTATTCAAAAGTAGTCAGGCAAAGAGGGAAAAAGGGATGACAAAACCCTGGATGTTGATAGTTGTGCGGATGAGCAATCGGCTTGAACGACCCTCCGGATGGGTTTCGTGTAATGGAATAACTGATTGGAAATATCAAACATGACGTCGTAACAAAAGGAAATGGAACGTGTGAACAGAAACAAAAACTAGATTGATTTGAATTTGAAAACATTTATACTCCCTAATATTGTAATGCTCCCGGTTAAATAATATACTATATTTTCTATTTTAAGCTGATACCTGATGAAATCTACATACTATCATACTAACGTCGTTAAATCATCGTATCCCTCTTTCATAAAAGCCACGTTTTAATTTATTTCAATACATAGCTTTTTCCGCCAACACTTATTATCTTCAAATTAACCCTTTTTAAATTCAAATTAAACCTTAAAGTAAGGTTTAATTTGAACCTCAACATCAAACATGAAACTAAACAAGCTCACACTAAAACTTAAACCTTAATGCTTACAAAATCCTTTTATACTTATGTAAATTAATATTTTTTAACTTCAAATTAACTCTTCTTAATTACAAATTAAGTAGCTTTTTTTTTAACATAAGGATAACCTGTGTGTGTGTGGTGATTAGTGACCGATATTTATTTAGAATAATTATCGATATTTATTTAGAAATCGTGAGATGCGGTCTGGTGTGATGTAGGTTTTAGAAAAACATTTTCTTTACCGTACCAACGTTTCGATCTTTAATTCACTAATTTCGTGGTCCGCTTGACCAATTAATACAAGACAATTAATTAAGGTTTTTAGTTGAGATGAAAAAAAGGCTAATGGCACGAGAGAGATTCGAACCCACGACAAATGGCAAAAGGAGGGAAAACTCATAAGGTGGGGTTGAGATGGGGAGTTGATGTCCGAGTGGATCGAGGTCACGATAGCTCAGGTGGTAGAGCAGCGGCGTATCTAGCCGAAGGTCGTCGGTTCGAATCCCGCTCGTGCCATGGACTTTTTCATCTCAACTAAAAACCTTAATTAATTGTTTCGATCTTTATTGAGATCATCTTCAGGGCCTGGGATTTACAAATATTGTTTACATACAACAATTACATTTTGGATGTGGAAAAGTGAATTTATACAATGCAAAATATATTTTATATATTCAATCAAAGTATTTCTATTCACTCAAAGTGTTTGTCTTCTGTGTAATTGTGTCATTCTTGCGTGTCGTGTCGGGAGTGCCAGTGAGATTTTGCTATTTTGTGTTTATATACATTGGATTTTGAAAGGGTGGGGAAGGATGTCGGTATAGAAAAGACATTTTTGTATAAGGCGTCCGCTTCTTTGAGGTGAAAAGAGCCGACGAAGGGAAAAATGTGTTGGTAATGGTTCGGCCAGCTTATCCTTTCAGGATTATATAGAAAGGGATAAATAGGAAAAGGAAAGCTAAATTGTTGGGAAATTAGACTATCTGAAAAATATATGATGTGTGGAATGTAATGTGATGATATAGGTATGTTATCTGTATTGAATTTGATTAATGATAATGGCGTAGCTGCGACATAAAACAGCAAAATCTCACTGGCACTCTCGATACGACACGCAAGAATGGCACAATTACACAGAAGACAAACACTTTGAGTGAGTAGAAATACTTTGATTGAATATAT